CCTGGCTGAAATATAATTTTAAATATCAATGTAGTGTATGAATGGCATTTGTAGCTGGAGGCAGGGTTGGAGTAGATAGAACTCCAGAGTTCCTTTTGAGCTCAAAGAGTCTAACATCCAAGCTCTTGCTTAAAAGAGTTTAAAGAATGCTCATGTCGTAGATGGATATTAGTAGTTTTATTTGTAAGACATCCTTCCTTGCCATTGTCTTTACTAGTGATGCCATAGTTTATATGAGAAGCTTGGCATATAAAGTTTTATATGTCATTCTGAATTGTAGTAGTAAGCACTAAAGAACTTTATGGCCTCTTATTTTCAGGTGTAAACTTCCTACTTTGGGGCAACTTGCCAGAGACAGAAGAATGTACAGATGAAGACATGTTAGAAATTTCAGCAGAAGAGTATATTAGATGAATGGATTACAATGTAATTACATATAATATTTTATAGTTTTTTATTTAAAATATTTAATTGGTCAATTTTAACATTGCCAATAAAGATTTGCCAATGGTTTAAAAAATAAAGAGCATTTACTATTTTATTTGCAATTTCAAATTAATTACCTCAATTTAACTTAAGCCAATTTTTTTCTTCTATTTCTACTGCTTCTTCTCCCCTGCCCCTCTGCCCAGGATTGGTACATTCTTACCTTCAAATAGGAAATTTCACGTCATTCAGCTACCTTCCAAATGGAGAGAGTTTTTCTATAACTTGATGCCAGATAATGTTATTCAATATTCCTGAATAAGAACATTAATACCTACTCCTATATCAGCCACATGAAATATGCAGCTCAACTGAATATAATAAGGGTTTAAAAAAAAGAGCAGGCTGTCAGGTTTCCATGGGTACTGGTTATTATATGCTGTATTGGAAATGCTTTAATATGGAAAATGGTGTTAGACGTGAGTTTGTCAGAAAATTATCAATGTATGCTGTTTAACAGTGTTCATTATTTACATTATTTTAAAGCCACTGTAGCTACTATGCCATGAGAGCCAGATAAAATCAACTTTCCTCTTTAAGTTATCCATTCCCTAGGGATTTTTCTGTGAGTGGCAAGTTCTAGTTGAGTAGTCTAGGTCCAAAAGTTTTTGGGTTTTTTTTTTTTCTTTTTTTTATGATAGAAAAAACCTTAAAGAATTGATTGCTTAACCACCATACATTATAAAAGAGTTTTCCTCTTTTTCCTTTGTTTTTGTTTTTGTTTTTGTTTTTGAGACAGGGTCTCACTGTGTGGGCCTGGCTGACCTGGAACTCACTACATAGACCAGGCAAGCTTTAAATTTCTAATCCTTTGCCTCAGCCTCCTCAGTAGCTAACACTACAAACCAATACCCAGGCCTGGCTTGCTCTTTAATCTTGTACTGGAAAAAAGTGGATACTTGTATAGCCTTTAAAACAACAAAAATAAAGTTCATAGCATATTATATATTCTTCAGTTGACTTGTTCAGTTAAAGAAAAAGAGTTTAATGCTGGAGTCAAGAATGTTAAAATTCAAGGCTGACCTTCAATAGAGTTTTTCTGGTCCTCCTTCAGCTCAGGTCTTGACGTGCTGTTAGACGTGGGTTCTCTGTGAAGAGGCAGTGCCAGACAGAGGCACACTGACTGAAATAAACCCAAATACTCCATTGCAGCTGGACAGTATTTTAGACTACTCAGCTACTTTTCAATGATTCTTTTCTAGGAAAGCCCATTTTAGGTAGCAAATGAATTCATACATTTTTATCAAGAGAAATACATTCATAATGATTTCTTTTTAAATTTTTTCCCCTTTAGTACTGGGGATTGAGCCTGGGACCTCAGATTTGTGAGACAAGGGCTCTATCACAAAACTACCCCTTTTAAAATCAAAGCAATTAG